CACAAGGATGCGGCGAGAGACCCGGCGCGCAACACGCCCCGCCGGAGACGGCGTGAGCGGCGGGATTCGACGGCGGTTTTAGCAAGAAATGGACAAAAAATTTGGGCGAGTTACAACGAGTCTCTCCCCCTCACAGCCCCTGCGCCGCCCGACTCCCCAGGCAGCCGCGTGATGAAGGCGTCGAGGTCGCCGACTCTCGCGCGCCAGTACGACTTGCCATACGAGATGAGAAGCTCCTCGCCCGCAGCGACGCCGTTGCGCGCGCAGACGTAGACACCTTGCCGCAGCTCGCCGTCCGAGGCGCGCCGAAGCCGGAACTCCACATTCTGCCGCCGCCCCGTGTTGCGAAAGTCGTTGACGAACCTCGCCTCGTTGCCGACTCGCCTCGCGTCGAGGCAGAGCTCGCCCTCCTCGCCAAACTCGGAGACGTAGTCAGAGCTGCGGTCCTCGTGCTCGCCGAGGCTGACGCACCCGACGTAGTCGAGCACGCGCGCGCCACACGGCAGCGCCACCGCCGCAAACAGACCGCGCTCGCCGTGCGCTGGGTGGCTCTCGTCGTCGATCTTTCGCACCTCGACGCGCGTGCACGGGCCAGCGCGCCGTCGCCGCCGCACCCCGCGGCGTCCGTACCGCTCCAATACGGCGGGTGGCACTCGCCCGTCCCACTCGTAGTCATTGCTGAAGGCCACGTCGTCTGGCCACGACAGGGACCCTGCCGCCGCAGGCCCCTCCGTCTCAGATGCGCTAGACGCAGCGTCCGGCACGCAGCTTACTACGGCGCGAGTGCTCTTCTCCACGTGTCTCGCGAGGGCGCGGCGCTCTCGCTCCTTGAGGCCGGGAAGTAACGACAGCAGCCACTGCATCTCATCAGCCTGCCCTGCTGCCGGGAGCACAGCCTGCGCGGCCGCGGCTTCGACAGCCGGCGGTACGGCGAATCGCCTCTTAGTGAGCCAGCCAACCGCGGCGCCGGCATACGCCGGAGAGGGCGCGCGATCCGGCATTACGTGCCGGAAGGAGTGAGGTTCGCTCTACGCCGCGCTGGTGTGAAGCCTCCAGGGCTTGCACCTCAACCTCAGCCCAGCGCGTAGCGCTGCCCGGCCCCTAGGACCCCGGGTAAGGCCCAGGTGTGGCCTAGCTAGGGCATCAGAAGGGACCAAGAGGAGTCCAGTCTGAGCCATAGAGCCCATGTCTTTGCCCCCGAAGGTCGCGTTCAAAATGCCCGGAACGGACGTTACAGTGGTGTCCGGCTGGCGCGATCACCGAGCTGTGACGCTCAGGGAAGCCCGATGAGGTACTGGTTTCTTTGCCCAGGGCTGGCCTTCCCCCCAGGCTGGATCAGCTGAGCAAGGTTTGGGGAGAATCCTATATTGGAATCTTCAGATATTTGGATCTTCAGATGAACCAACCCTCGGAGACCCGTGTTTACTTTATGGCCCTTTCCCTGCGAACGCGCACCCCCCAGGGCTAGGGCTCTCTTGCCCGCAACCCGATCCCGATCATCCGGCCCGCTGGGTGCGCTTCTTAGCTCCCCGGCCCTGGATGTGAGGTTGCCGACTGCACTCCAAGTGCTCCAAGTTGGGCCCTCAGGCTGCCCGCAAAGACGAAGGAGCGCACTCCCTCCTCCTCCTCCTCGGCGCCCAGCCCTCATCATCCGGAGGGCCGTTGCCAAAGACGGCGCGGGCCGCCGACTCCGCCGCCGCTTCCGCAGCCAAGCTGCCTGCGGCAGCCACGCCTGCAGCGGCGGCGGCGGCGGCGGCGGCAACGGCGACCCCGGCGCTCCGCGCAGCAGCCGGCACCCCCAGGTCGATAGAGCTGGCGTGAGACGTCGCGCCGCGCAGCCGTCCCCTTCTGCAGCGTGGGGCGCGGCCCCGTCGGCGCCACGCCGCCGTTCGCTGCGGCGCGCAGGGCGGCGGGCGCCGAATCCGAGTAGGACTTGTGTCGGGGGAGGCATGCGTCTATGCTGTGGCGGCCGCGTGATCCGCCGATGCGGGGGGTGGCGCCCGCCCGTGCTAGCCGAGCGTTGCGGCGTACGAGCCGCGCTGCAGCATCGCGAGCGCACGCCTTG